TCGAAGCTTCCAAGGGGCACAGGGGCTTCCAAAACCTTAAAAAGGGTGGGTTCCCTATGGAGACGCTTAGATCTATGTGTATGTATGTATATGTACATATATATTTACTATGTATACATATATATATATACACATACACATACATACATACATACATACATACATACATATATACATATGTACACATGTGCATATATGTGTGTGTACATGTATATACGTTCTTAAGTTGCCTATGTGTATATCTGTATATCTGCTTTTATCTCTGTGTGTGTAGCAAAAAGGGACGTTTGAACAATAGCCGAAGGCTGCTTCAACTACGCAGCCCCCACAGAGCAAGTGGAGGCCTTGGTGGAGCAGGCCTTCCGGATTTGCCGCTACGACGCCCACTGCGCCACGAGGGAGCTGCAAAAAGACAAACGCCGGGAAAGCGACGGAGCAGGAATGAGAGAAGCCCGGTTCTGTACACTACACTGGTTGCTACTTAGTAGCCTTACTAGCCTTATAAGGGCTATAAAAATAGTTACTTAGTAGCCCTATAGTAGCCTTATACAATTAGCACATCCCTCGGCCCCCCCCAAACAAAGACAGGAGCTGGTGCGGAGGCCTGGCGGCAGCGGGCGGAGGTCGAGGAGCTCCTGAGCTGGTGGTGCCGCCGTGCCTGGGAGGACCGGAGGACCAAGGAAGCGGCCGAGGCCGTGAGAAAAGCGGCTGAGACTGGGCTCTTCTTAAGGGGAGGTGATTTAGAAGTTGCCAAAATAAGGAACTATAGAACCCTATTATTCTAGTAACTTTCATAATAAACTCCCCCTTAAGAAGAACCCAGGAGAAGCTGGAAAGAGCCCAGGCGCTCTCCTCCTTCTGCCGTTTTCAGGCCACGGCCAGGAAGGCGGCACGCCAGGCCTGTCAAATCTCGGGGGGCCAGCAGGACCTGCTCCGTGACTGGCAGCGCTGCCGCCAGAGCCGCTCGAGGCCCAACGAGACCGCCCGACGCCTTCACGAAGCCAGGGGCGAAAGGGGCGAGAGGGCTTTGGACCCCTTTGGGAATCTGGCCCGCGAAGACTGCTGCGGGGATCCACGGTGCTTGGCCTCTCTATGGGACTTCCAGAATCTGCAAAGACGCAAGGATTCCTAGTCCTGCTCCTACATGCGCAGCAACAGAAACGCTTGGGAGGCTGCCTCGGGACGTTGGAATTGGCCGATGATTGCTCATGCAAAGGTCTCAGCGTAGCTCGGGTGACCCATCAACCCACAAAGCATCAGACGTTATACGGTATGGGAGGGAACAGCTCAATCCGCTAGGCTGCTTCCGTGTCTCCGAAAGACGCCCTTGCATGATGTGTGAAGGTCGAATGGAGCCAGTTTTCGTCTCTGTCCTTGTGTTGAGTCTTCAGGATCTATGGCCATCCCTGCCTCGTTTCGATAGAATTTGTCTGCCTCTCTCTGTCTGTCACTGCTTCCCTTTCCGCTGGTTTTTGTCAGGACTATGATGAAGCTTCGACGCTGCTGCAGTCTGCCCGGGCAGACAGCCCAGGAGGCCGGGTATTTCGACACTTTGGCTTGGCCTGCGTCCTGGTGTGATTGTCTTGTGACGATGATGATTGCGCGGATCGAGCGTGCCGCAGGGCGAGCATCATCAGCATCAGCTGTCATTCTTCCGAACTTTCGCTTCCATCCCCCAGCCTTGCAACTACAGCAAGCACAAGAGTTCGACTCAGGCATCACCAGTGGGGCGAGCATCACCAGCATCAGCTGTCATTCCTTTTGCAATCTCCAGGCATTCCAACCAGAGCAGACATGGGAGCTCGACGATTAAACGAGACCCAGGGCGAGCATCATCAGCATCAGCCGTCATGCCGTTTCACAGCCAGGAATTGCAACCAGAGCAGACATGGTAGCTCGACCGAGTGAATTGATGGATTTAGCGAGCCGCAGGGCGAGCATCATCAGCATCAGCTCTGTTTTCTTCTAAACTTTGTTCCCCTTTCCTGGCGTTTGAAGCCGCAGCAGGCATAAGAGTTCGACTGATGCTGATGGATGGATTCAGCGAGTCGCAGGGCGAGCATCATCAGCATCAGTCGTCATGCCGTTTCACAGCCAGGCATTGCAACCAGAGCAGACATGGTAGCTCGACCGAGTGAATGGATGGATTTCGCGAGCATCAGCTCTGTTGTTTTAGAACTTTGTTCCCATTTCCTGGCGTTTGAAGCCGCAGCAGGCAAAGGAGTTCGACTGATGCTGATGGATGGATTCAGCGAGCCGCAGGGCGAGCATCATCAGTCGTCATGCCGTTTCACAGCCAGGCATTGCAACCAGAGCAGACATGGTAGCTCGACCGAGTGATGATGCTCGCCCTGCGGCTCGCTGAATCCATCCATCAGCATCAGTCGAACTCTTATGCCTGCTGCGGCTTCAAACGCCAGCAAATGGGAACAAAGTTTAAAACAAAACAGAGCTGATGCTGATGATGCTCACCCTGCGGCTCGCTAAGTCCATCCATTCACTCGGTCGAGCTACCATGTCTGCTCTGGTTGCAATGCCTGGCTGTGAAACGGCATGACGGCTGATGCTGATGATGCTCGCCCTGCGGCTCGCTGAATCCATCCATCAGCATCAGCTCTGATTCTGTTGACCACGTTATACTTTGCCTCCCGTGTCGAAGCCGCAGCAGGCACAAGAGTTCGACCGAGTGATTACATGGATTTAGCGAGCGGGAGAGAATCAGCTCCAACTCGGTCTCACCTTCCGGTTGCTTCTGGGCCATTCGGTGCCAGCAGCACGACTTAGATCGAGCGAGCCACCTCCTCCTTGGGGCCTCTGGAGGATGGTGGAGATCACATCAACCGTGATGGTCACTACATAATGCATATATATATAGATATATGTATATATCTGTATGTATGTATGTATGTATGTATGTATGTATGTATGTATGTATGATCATGTGTGTGTATATATATATGTTATATAACTTATATAACTTATATAA